GGGGGGGCGTCTGGGCCCAGGGGTCCCTCGTCTGAAGTCCCAGAACCAGCCCTGGGGAGCGGGTCTTTGCCCCAGCGCCCACCGCCCACAGCGCCACAGGCCCCAGGAGGGAGCCCCGCCGGCCGGAGCCCCGGGGAACCCACGGGGAGGAGGCTGCGTCTGCAGAGGGAGGGGCCACAGGAAGATGCCGGGCCCCCTGCGTGGCGCATCCGAGAAAGGCCCCCCGGGAGCTCCGAGGGAGCTGGGGGGAGACGGGCCTGAGGTCCGGCGGGGGTCAGGGGCTGGGAGGGGCCGCAGGGCTCCCCTCTGGAGCAGCTGGCGGGCGTGGCCAGGTGACGCTGGCAGGGCCGGCCGCAGGTGAGAGGTCAGGCCCGGGGTGGGGGGGGGCGGTCCGGGAGGCTTGGGGGCCTGGGCTGTCCCCCAGGACCTGCAGGAAGGGCAGGGCCAGTGACGGGGAGACGGCCCCTCTCATCTCTGGGGCCCCGGCTCCCACGCTGGACGGCTGTCTCAGGGAAGCATCGGTCACCTGCCTCGGGGGACCCACAGGCAGGGGGCGGAGGTCAGAGGGCACCGGGGCCCAGAGCAGGGCTTTCCTCCGACTGACTGCCCGCAGCGTGTGTGTGCGCGCGTGTGAGTGCGTGTGTGTGTGAGACCCTGAGGGTGCCGGAGAGCGGACGGCACCCCGGAGGCCGGGCAGCCCGCATTCGGCCCTGGGCCGGGCGCCGAGGGGGTGGGGCGGGGATGGGCGCTCGCGGCGCTGCGACCTGGGTCCCCGGACAGGAGCCCCCGGGAGCCCCGCGGAACGGCTCCTCTCGCCGCCCTGTTGCCACGTCCCTGCGACTCTTGGTGCCTCGAAAAGTCGGCGGGAAAAGGGGCAGTTATCCACCGGACTCTGCTGTTGGGCCTAAAAAGCCATGAAAGTGGGTGGAGGCTGGAAGGAAGGCTGTCCCAACGGAGACGCCTCTGCCTCTGCCCCCACGGAAGCGGCGAGAGGAGACTTTGGTGCTGACCAGGCCGGAGCGCAGCCGGGAGTGGGGGGGGCACAACCAGCGGG